AAACCCTTACTGTTAATTTTTACAGTTTCAGCCAACCTTTTCTCATACATCCTTTTTGATGTCCTAATTTCCTTTTTCACCAGCTTTCTTGATCTTCTACAACCTTCTAAGTCTCCTGTCATACCAGTCAATTTAAATTTCTTAATCTTATGATGGTTTTTTATTTTATTTCTTAAACTCTTTGTGAGCCAACCTGTTTTTTTACTTGTAGCTACCCTTTTCTTTCTATAAGGAAGATGTTCACCTTGAGTATTTAAAAATTTTCCATATCAGATTACAAGGTTATTTAAAAAAGTAATAAGAAAAAGTTTCAATTTTTCATTTATGCACTCTTGTACATTAAGATGATTGTTGTAAACTTAATGGGGTAATTCATCGATAAGAAGATATGTGGTATTTCTTTATCTGAATGTCCATTAATTTAATAGATATAAATGACAACTGTATATTAATATTGTATAATTATGCACAGTTGTTAGAAGACCATCATGAAGTCTAGAAAACTTACTTCTTATATGCACTTAAACTCTTCAATGATATTGAAATGCATTTTGCACAGAAGACATACAGCTAAAACTACCAAAATGAAAAAAATAACTTGGATTTGTTTTTATCAATTGTAAACAGGCAAATAAATACTAGAAATATGATTTATTTTGAAATTGTATATCAGTTACAAAGAATACAAGCATGAATATAAAATTTATCAAAATATAAAAAAAGTAAAAAAAAAAAATGTAGCAAAACATGACAAATGTACACTCATTTTTCAAAGTAACAATCATTTCAGAAACACATCATACATTTCTGTTGAGTTTTTTCTTTATTTAATTTGGCTAATGAGTTAAAATTTTAAAATGCCTCTACCACAATTTCTATAGAAATTAAGCACTTTAAGGCTTACTTGTACTGGTTCTTAGACATGGTTCTTTTTACTCTATTCTTTTATAAAAGACTACACAGATATATTAGTTATTTTTACTTAAAGCTGACAAAGAGAAATTCACAAGATATACATACACACACACACACACACAGATGGAAGTACTGTTGATAATAATTCAAAAATGTTAAGCTCAAACATTATAATTTTCCTGTGAAGATTATAATTATATCAACTGCAATAACAAAACAACTGAAGCTTAAATTCTATAAGTGGCAAATAATATAGTACATCCACATTAATTCATCAATTTAAATGCCAACATTCTGTTATGCTAGGTAATTTACCTTTCATCATAGGAAAACAAAAGATTATATAGTACTGTAGTAAAAAACAATGTTGCTTATGTCAATACATCAGTCATGTTTTTGTGCTATGTTTTTTGTGGACCATGGAAATGTTGAAATTCCATCAGTACAGCCAAATTCTGAGCACTTCATCCCAGCAGGACAGCAATGGATAGCATCTGCACAACAAACTGCATCTTGAAATGGACAACATCCCCACACACCACTGGTTAATTTACAACAAGTGCTACCAGAGGGACAATGATATCTTGGATCTGGACAATCTACCATATGTTCAGGTAGAAGTAATGGTACTAATGCCTGCTCAGGTACTGTATTTTCTTGTTTAGGCAAGCATATTCCTCTCTGAGTTTCACAAACAGTGCCTTCTGGACAACAATGAATCTTATCTTCACAACACACGGCATTACGTAATGGACAACAACCCCATTTTTTATAACCAACTAGACAACAGGTGTTATGATTGGGACAGAATTGTTTCCCTCCTGGACAAGGCACATTGTTGAGAAATTGACGAGTGTCAACTCGTAAGGCTGGAATTTTTTTCACCCATGGGATTGTTATGTTGCTAACAAAGTTGCAACCACCAGTTTCTGGGTTGCATACTGAACCTTTGGGACAGCAGTTAATGTGATTGGCACAACAGACTGCATCAGGCAAAGGGCAACAACCCCACTGCCCATTTGGCAATTTGCAACAAGTGTATTCATCTGGACATTCATATTGTCCATCAGGACAAAGGATTTTACTGATACTGCCTTTTGCTTCTTTATTATTTAATAATTTGGTTTTATTGGATATTTCCCACATCTTAATAAATTTGAATTTACTTCCTTGTTTCACATTCATAAAGTTAGTTTTTGTTTGCATTTCCACCAAGTGAAGCTTTTGAATACACTTGCCATGCTGAACATCACATACAGTCCCTTGCGGACAACAGTGTTGGTGATCTGAACAGCACACAGCATTTGGAATAGAACAACATCCATAGACATCACCATATAAAAGACAGCAGGTATAGTAATCAGGACACTGATATTCACCTCCAGGACAAATAACAGAATTTTCTTTCAGGATTATTGGTTTTGAACTGTTAAAATAGTTCTTCACACATTGACCAAAGGTTATGTCACATCTATAGCTCTCAGGACAGCAGTGCTTGTGGTCATCACAACAGACAGCATTAGGCAATGGACAACATCCATATTCATCACCATTACTCATTAAGCAGCATGTTGCACCTAAATATATGAATATAAAAAACAAACAAACATTATTTAAAGACTTCTTCAATTACAAATTTCAAACATTTAGCAGTAAATACCCTCAGTTAAGGCATAATAACAATGTTTTGGGACAACTAGGGACCTACTGGTCCATCTTGGCTGTCCCATTCTCTAAACTAAAATAAAACTATTATAAAAAAGATAAATCTTAAAGCCAGCCCTTATCATTCATATACTTATCAAGCTTTCTCTTGAACTCACAAATGAATGACAGCTAAGCCTGAACGTGCAGTTACACGTCCTAACCCTAATCTGATGTTGTAGTACAGATTATACATTAAGCTTTTATTTAAAACTTTAACCCTACTATTTTTATTTACCAATCTTACTAAATATAGTTAATATTTTGTTATTCAACCCAAATCACTACAAATGATAATATTAATCTACATAAATATAATAGCACTGTCTGTTGTATGTCCATGTAAGTACATCGCAGGGTGTATATGGATCTTCACCAAAATTGGTATGGAGGTTCATTAAGTCCATGTGGTGGTACATAAAAATTTTCAGTTTTGCCGTTTTTATGGGCATTTTTACCACTACTTTGCCCCCCTGTATGTGGATCTTCACCAAATTTGGTATGGAGGTTCATTGGGTCCGTGGGGAGATACATATAAATTTTCAGTTATAGATTTTGCAGTTTTTATAGGTGTTTTTTATCACTACTTCACCCCTGTTGATGAATCTTTACTAAATTTGGCATGAAGGTTTGTTAGGTCCATGGGGAGATATGTATAAATTTTAAGTTTTGCATTTTGCAGTTTTTATGGGTGCTTTTGCATTTTTGATTACTACTTGTGGAAAAAAAGTTTTAATCATTCTTAAAATTTGTGACTTCAGTATGAAACTTTGTGTACCTAAAAAAGGAATGATCAGTAATTAATGGGTATTTATCTACAGTATATGGTTTCTTGGGGGTTCAAATGTGTTAAAAAGGAACTTTTATGTTAGTGCTTGAATAAAACGCAAGGGATAGCCTTTGTTTATTAGAATATTCTGTAAGGTGGTGATTTTGGTACGAAGAGAGAAGTAGTCAGAACAGATGTTATATGCTCTGTTACGTTTAAAGGAGTCTGGTATAAAACTGCCAAAACAAGTATGTAAACCTGCATATGTTGTAAACTGGTTATCTAATCTGCTGATTTGGATATCAAGAAAAGGCAACTTACCATTTTTTTCAGTTTCACAAGTAAAATTAATGTTAGGGTGTTTCTAATTTAAATAATCAAAGAATTTTGTGATGTAATTAGAGCTCCGAAAGAGTAAAAATGTATCATCAACACACCTTCTACATAAAACAACTTACCATTTTTTTCAGTTTCACAAGTAAAATTAATGTTAGGGTGTTTCTAATTTAAATAATCGAAGAATTTTGTGATGTAATTAGAGCTCCGAAAGAGTAAAAATGTATCATCAACACACCTTCTACATAAAACCAGTTTGTATTCAGCAGAACAGGTGTCTAACCAAGAATTGTCATTATGACTAAAGAATATGTTAGCAACAGTGGCCCCATTGCCATGCCATCTATTTGGTCATATAGCTGACCATTGAAGACAAAGCGATTATCCTTGAGGGCAAGTTTTAGTAATTTTTAGAACTGTTGGCAGTTTAAGCTTAAGTATATTTCATTTTATTTGGGAAAAATTTCTTTAAGAATATCTGTATTGTTTCTTCAAGTGGAATGTTGAAACTAGAAGGTATATATTGATCAGCACTAGTAATTTTGGAAATTCCTTGTGCAAAGGAAAAGGAATCTTTAACTGTAAACTCATTGAAAGTAAGTGAATTTAGAATAGGAACAAGGAATTTAGCCAATTTATAAGTATGGGAACCAGTGCTAGATAAAATAGGCCTTAAGAGGATGTTATTGTTGTGAACTTTAGGTAACTCATACAAGAGACCTGGGTGGGAGCCTGATGGGTAAATGTCTTCCAGAACATTTTCAGAAATGTAGTTGCTTTGTTTGAAATTTCTTAAGACTCATTGTATTTTCTCTTCATGTTTTATGGTGAGCTTTAATCAATTAACATTATGAGTTTTGAATTTTGTGTTGTCATTGAGAATACATTGCATTTTGTTAATATAATTTGGCTTACTAAGGATAACCACACCTGTACCTTTATCAGATCAGACAACAACAATATTTTTGTTATTGGCTAATTCCTTTAAGGCAGTATATTCTTCATGAGGGATGGTGGAACTGGATTTATGGGAGTTGTAATTGTAAAATGAAGACAAAGCAACAATTTTTAACCAGGTTTTTACAAAGCTCTTTAAGTTGTGGAAGCAATTCCTGTTGAATATAAATTGAAATTTCAAAGTTTTATAAGTGCTCTCAAAGGGGAACAGGTAATCAGAGAATGGTAAGCGAACATTTATGCCCTTAGCTAGGGCACTTTTACAGGTTTCACTGAGTACAATAGTACTAAAGTTAAAAATCACCTTGTTGGAGCTTGTGAGAGCAGTGGACATTGCACATTCAGTGGGATATCTCAACTGTCTAGCAAAAGGAGAACCTTAAACACAGAGCTGGTAAATGATGGATGTGTAAAAAGTGCATCAGACTAAACTCTCAGGCCATTAGGAGTTCATGCCCCTAGGTTTTAACTTCATACCACATGCTGAATCAGACATTGTAATGGTCATTGCAGTTCGACATAACAGCAGCATCCACTATGAACCTATGCTTAGTGGAACAATCACCAATGCAAGCTATAAACCATCCAGATAAATCACTCACAATTAACCATACAAATCTGAATTCCCAATGTGTAAATAAAAGTTAACATAGCACATCATGCTGAAAATTGGAGGTTCCTGTCTGAAAACACTCCTGGGTATCTAGTAGAAGAATACTCTAATGCCTACTTGGTATTCAGATGAAAATACTATAAGAAAGGTTTACATTCTTCTTCAGACAGCATAGCTACCAATATTTTACCTCTAAACTCATGAAAACTAAAACAAATTGCTGAGGGCCAAAGTGACAAAAACTACTGTATAGACCTTGCTTTTGTAAACTGTACCTTAAGTGTCATAACCACTTGGCATAGATGATGTAGTGTCTGTATTAATCACCTTGTGTGAGGTGCATTTGAAGACTGAAAGACAAGGTGGCACAAAACAAACTAAAAACCCATACAAAGGTATCAAGCTTTTTGACAACACTTGTGTCCTCAATATCTCTCCACCAGTGACCAAAACTAAATCAACAATTTCTAGAAAAGGAACACTCAATACTAGTAGAAGATTGATTTTGATACAGCCTAGAAAGCATTTAATCAAGTCCATACTGAGTTCATGCAAATAAAGTATGACCCAGCCTGTGCAGAGAAGGCAAAGATTGTAGATCATGTACTTTCTAAAAGCAACCATAAAATGAATTATGCAGCAAGGCCAATTTCACAAGGATTTCATTCTAGCACTTCCACAAGCATATGGCTCACGAATCTGGAACCCAAAACATAGTGTTGTTTATCATTAAGATTATGGTACCCCACTCTGCACAGATAAAAACCAATTTAAGGGCTTAATGATCAGATATATTAACCAATATAACCTGGTGATATGCAGGACAGGCTCAACCTACAGAAATTCCTACCTGAGCTACAATTACATGCTTATATGGAAGCTATCTTTAGCTTGGACAAAATACACAGAGCCATAAATACATCAAAAGATCCAAGGCTCCAGATGGTATAAGAATCTCCAATTCAAGAACCTTACAGAAGACAATCTGCTAAAGTTAGAGTTGCAGTACCAATGCAGGTGGGCAACAAGTAACATCCCTAAAATATGAACTTATGCCTTTATCTAATCCTAACCCAAACAATTTTCACTAACAAACAGGCAGGGTTTAACTGTTCCATTTCAGATATTCTAAAGACAACTATAGCTAAAAAGCTAGCCTATTAGATTGAACCACAACTATCATCAGTTCGACATTGCAGTGAAATAGAAACCTGAATCTGTAATACTGAATTTGCAGTTGATACATGGGAAGGCTTTGAAACTGGTTAGAACATTTTGGCATTTTAGGTTTAGATCTGGAAGATGCCTACGACAAAATCCAACTGCTCATTCTTACTGACAAAGTACTCAAACTAAGCAACAATGTAACATATGTAAGGTGGGTTGTAGCCACACTAACTACCAAAAGCATAGAAGCTGGCAATCAGATTGGATAATCATCAACCTTGGTGTAGCTCAAAGATCACCACTCACCAGTCCTCAACACTTTCACCATGGATCTAGCACCACCTTGACAATCCAACCAGGTGTTGAGTGCTAAACTTTACTGACATTCTGGTGTACAGTAGAGGCCCTTTGATATATCCAGGTGAAAATGAATTAACTTTAGAGCTATATGGGATAGGTCTCTTAGATAACAGGAGATTTACTCAAGATATCTTTAAGGAGTAATACTAAATCTCTTACTAACAGAGTCAATGTAGAAGTGGCATCTATGAACATTTGAACTTTACTAAAAACAAGCTAGTCTTTTTCTCCAACATATCGCAAATACTACTATGCTTCATTCATATACAACAATACTCAAAATGGTGTATTTAAGTGTTTTACACTCACAAAAAAGAAACCTATCACTCTATAGGTATTTGAAGAACTTGTACCATTTCATCACAATTTAGTTCTTCGTATTGTTAGCTGACACTGGGCAGCAGGTACATAATTGAATAGAATTGTTTAAACATTTGTTTATCTGTTGTTAAACAAATGTTTAAACAACTGTATTCAATTACAACAATACTGTTATCTAGTTCAAATCCAGTAACCTTCATTTCACACATCTGCTAAACTATAGTTGTCACAACAGTACCTATCACATACACTACCAAATTTCCTATCATGAAAAACAGTTCAACTCATTTCATATCTATGCTGTAATTTCAGAAGTGTTTTACATAATGGAATGTCAGTAAATCCTCCAAATGCCTGAAGAACCAAACGTCAGTATGATAGTATGAATTATTAAGAAATGCCTTATTATCAATAGTTAGTGAATTATTTCTTCAGCTTAGCTGGCACAGCAGTGAGATCCCAGGTTTGATTCCTAGCCCAAAGATGGTCATCCCATGAACATAAGATAAGGTTCAAAGATAGGTCTTGTTTATGAGAAAGTATATGGTAATTTGTATAAATAAAAAGTGCCTTTCTAGCATGTGCTAGCAGGTTAATGATTTTAACTCAATTGGTAGAGAACCTGTTGCATGTAGGAGATCTAAAGTTCAATACCAAGCTAGAGAAAGAAAAAATAACTTGAGTACTACACCAACAATCAGATCTAACTGTGATCACAATGGGTCTATAAATATAATACAAAGAACAGAATCAACACAATCATCTCTTACATAGACTATCACATTCATGATACTGGGAAGTGAAAAGCAGAAATATGATAAAATTATGAGAAAAATATGTTGAGAATAACTTAAACTTGCCAATAAAAAAATCTTCAGAAGCATAATAGAACATTTTCATTAATGGACATCCCAGAATACCCCCAGAATTTTCCTTTGTACACCAAAAACTGAACATGTGAAAGTCCCCAGGATATCAAGGATTTGATACCATATACCCAAAGGCCAAAAAAAATATTTATTACCAGTTTCTAACCGACCCTATTTTATTGCTACAAACCGTAACATTTTTCAGTGTTTTTAAGATAAAATTCTGACACAAGCTTGAAACTTGACCTCATATGAACATCCAATTATTTTGATAACTCCTAGACATATTCAAAATACATTGGCACCATTCATAACACTTCTTACATGTGTCCCTAACAACACTGCATACAAACAGGTAAGCCAAAGAGTAAATAGATGTCTAGTCCAAATGCAATGGATTTGAACTTTCAGTGTGACAAAGTTTTAAGGTTACAACAACATTACCCATACAATATGTGTTTTAACAACTCCAAGTTTTTGAATGGAACTTCCACGACAGATGACCTGAAAGTCCTGGACTTCCTGATTTTTGCAAGTTTATGAAATGGACAATTATATGATATGTTCTACGATAAAAGTAACAATGGCTTAGAAAAACATATGCTTCATATATATGAGCATTTGTTAATGGAAGAGGCAAAATCAAGACCTGTAAGTTATTTTTTTGAGATCATGTCATGAAGTAGATAAAAATGGTAATAATGGTCTAGTTCAAAATATTCAATCTAAGCACAATATTTAACTTACTTTCCATTGGATCCACAGAAAATGTATCATGTCTGAAAATTTTAAAACTATTTGATCTTAAAGTACAAAACAGGAGGTGAGAGAAGGCACTTCTGATGCTAAGGAAAATATGAAGGTACTAATTATTATATAGAGGTACATATAGTAACAAATATTTTGGAAGTTTTTTAAAGAACATTTTACAAGTTTTACATGTACTTTATTGTTAAGTAGATGAGGAATTCCACTATGAATTGTATTTTATATGCATCGTTAAAGATCATATTTTACATTAGAAATTTAAAAAAAACCGTTAAAAAGGTTTTACTAATACATTTGCAGTTAAGAAACATTTTCTTCTGTTGAAGAATATAAAAAAATGCAAGTTACTTAATATAAAATAAACTCAAGATATATAGTTAAACAAAAAGTTTGAAATGCATGGGTATGTCTTTTCCAACGTGTAACGGTACTATTGTGAACCAATCTAGTCTTATTCATAAGTCTTTACATGTATGGCAGCTAGAGAAAACAGTTACTTTCTTACAATGAAATTACATATCACTAAGGATAACTGATTGGTTTTCAGAACTACCTGTATTTTCCAACTACCTTGATGTATAAAACATTGAGGAAAAATATCACTGGAAATTATTAAAAATACTTTGTCATCTTAAATAATTAAATGTGACAGTGTGAATTATTCAGGAATTGCCTATGTATTTCATAATCCAATTTTTTGTGAAAAAGCAAGCTGTGGCTCAAACACTGCACTCGCTGCTTTTAACATAGCATTTAACAATAACTAGATCTGTTGATCCATCACAGTTGTCCCATCCACTTCAAAAATACTTAAATTCAGCCCAGATTATTTAAATATTTATCTAGCTTTTCCTTAAACACCCTTGAACTTACTGCATACACCATATCTGAAGGCATCTCATTCTAAAGTCCAACCCATTAGAAAATTAAAATTGTTTAAACAGAAAATTACTTCTACTTTGCCAAAATTTATATTTGTGTCCCCTTGTCCTACTATTTACATCATTAAATATGAAATCATTCATGCATCAGTATTACTAATTCCTTTAATAATCTTGAACACCTCAGTCAATCTCCTGTTTAAATCTTTCAACTCGGGCTCAGTCCCCGGGACAGACCTCGTAACCATTTTGTACTTTTTATAGTTTTCATGCTATAACTTTTAAATTAGTAAGCAAAAGTTAATGAAATTTGGCAGTTTATCAGTAAACATTACAATGCTTTCATACACAAAATATCTAATTTTTTTTATCAAGTCTTAAGATTTATAAAGCAATGTTTCTCTCATGCCTTTTTCATCTTTTCATATTTTGCCTATCTATCATGCAAAGTGATTTTCATTTTAAGGTTAAAAATACTTTTATGCATCAGAAAATTTAAAAATTTCACATGCAAAATCTTTATAATATCCGGATGGTTATCAAACATTTCTTAAGAAAAAACTTTATATTTTATCTGTTATTTTCAGTAATTAATCTCTATACGGGTTCAGTAAATTTGACTGATCTCCCAACCACTATAAAATATAAATTATGCCTCTTTTATTCTAGAATGAACACAAATTATAACACAAAAACATAAATGCTTAGACAAAATTGCTTAAATCTCATAACATTATACATTTATATATATTTATTATTTTTTATCACATTGACCTTTCACCCATGTCTCGCTAACAATACAGAAGTTACAACAATGCGGCTCATGTGCACTCATGTTTCCATATCAAATAACATAAAGGTGATCTTTGGTCTGTATAAAGTAACTAGCCTTGGCTGTGTTTTATTCAACTAGTATTTTGTA